TGGTGAGAACGACAAACGAATCTCTTCATCATGTACTTTCATTCGAAATGAAGTTCCCCCTAACAATGAGCAAGATTAGAATGGCTTGCTGATTTGTCCCTAAATGAACCTAAAATGGCACAAATAGGACTGATTACAATCGAGGTAAACTGGGAGACGCGAAACCCTACATAGAAACGAAAAGAAGATTGACTCTGATTTCTGCGCATGTTAGAAACCAAAATAATGCACATAATTCAAACCAATTTTACAAATTAGAACTGTGCTAATCCTGTGTCGTATAAGGCGATGGACGTTACTTTTACTATGTAGAACGCACCTAGTCCGAAGTCGTCTGCCATAGTGGTTGTCATGATTCCCAGCATCAGACAGTTGACTTGGTACTTTCTCAAATGTTTCGCCGGCATCGTAGTCGGCATCATCCGTCAGTTTTACCATTCTCCGCACCAAGCTACGAACTCGACAAATACACAAATGAAGTCAATGCCTCGACAACCGTTCTGTCGAAAAACGCTTACACTATCACTCCTCTTTCTGTTTTTGTCTATCTATCTACAAGTGGGATAATAGAGTAAATAGTAGATAGATGGACAATGACAGAAAGAGGAGTGATAGTTTAACCATTTTTGGGCAGAACGGTTGACGAGGGATTGACTTCACTTGTCTCTTTGACGAGGTCGTAGCTTGGTGCGGTGAATGGCAAAACTGCGACTACGATGCCGGCGAAACGTTTGAGAATGTACCAAGTCCACTGTCTGATGCTGGGAATCATGACAACCAATATGGCAGACGACTTCGGACAAGGTGCGTTCTACATAGTCGCCCAGACAACAAGACCAAGTTGCGACAACGAGGTCAACCCACTTCTATGAATCGAAAGGAGACTGCGACCACAGCAGAGGCCACAACATCTTGGTCTTCATATATTCTACCCTAATTTGGTTGGCTACTTCAACCTTACTCTACATGCTTGCAAACGTACCCCGAACGCATTTCTGGTTCGCGAAGTTAACTCTACTCATTTGCAAGCAAGTAGTGTAAGGTTGAGGTTGACAACCAAATCATGGGGGCATCATTAAGATCGCGACGTTAGGTGTACATAAAAGGTGACTAGGGTTGAGGCTGGCAACCTTTTGCATTGGTTAAGTATATAACTTTGTTCTATTTCGTAAAGTATTGAATCTTGATCTGACTATGTCTGCGCAGTACAGACGAAAACTTAGCGCAGTTTCATCGGTGCCGCAGAACGGTGAGACGAGGACTTCTACGCATAATACAACAGTCTTGCTTACGCGATAATCTTCCTTCGGTTTCTGGTGAGACCACATCGCGAATTCCTTCCAACTAACTTGCTCTTCGAAATGGAGAGTCATGTCACAACATTAATATTCTATTTTAGTAGTAACAGTCACCATTTTTGGCACAGTTCACAGATGAGCTGGCCTATCCTATCTTTGTCGTCCTCCCGAATCCTAATTTAATTTTCATAATATCCACGATCATATTTGCTCTTTATGAGCCATATATTTTTTTCACTAGATTCTCTGGAGTACCAGAGAATCAATTTGTTCATTTCCTTATCCCAAAACCCCATGCCCGAAAGTCTTAATCTTCAGATGATCAAACTACTCATTATTCCAATCTTTAGTCTGTAGTTGTGATGAGACTGGAAATTGAGGCTCATTGCTGCATATGATTTCTTCATGAATAATCTCCTCTTGAGTGTCCCGTTGGCGTACATGAACTTAAGATCAAGGAAAGATAATTGACTATTCTTCCATAGCTACATTGTGAAATTAATTCTTTTATCGAGTTGGTTAATACATTTGAGTAATTCATCCAAATTTTCCTCTTCATGTGACCAAAGTGCAAAGTAGTCATCGAGGCATCGCATAAACACTCTCGGTTGCAGCGGTGACCTCTCGGATTCCCTTTCCATTCGTCTATGCATACATTTGAAGATCCCATATGTAGTCAAAATAATGGCTGATAGATATTGTTGTTAAAGGTAACATGTGTGGTCCTTACTGTAAGGCTGATCAGTCGCGCTAATGTCTCATTCCGTATCCGCTCTGCTTCAAGAAGATCCTCTCCTTCTTCCAAGATCTCCAGTCAGAAGGCGGCCGCCTTCTCACCGGAGATGTTGTGTGCATTAGTTGTACGTTAAAATTGCCAACAGTTCCGTCCAGTCAAGTCCAACGTTTTGGATCCCTCGAGTAAATTCATATTCGTTCTTCACGTTATTCGAGATTCTGCCGTTCACTTTGTTGAGCTTCAAGCATATACATTCTCCGAGCTCATTGCTTACTTTTAACCGGAGTGGTTTTCATTTCTTGTGTATCTGCGGTAGTTCGTAGGCCGTCAGTGGTAGTGCATCAATTTTTATTTAATAATTCATTATCCATCTGTCTATTTCTCCGTTGCTATGCCTTTCCTTTGGCTTATCACTCAGTATCCCGTTGATATTCATGGTTGGATCCTTTCTTAATATTTGATAAGTATTCCGGTCGTATAAGATACTTTCCATATTCTTCGTGCATTGTTTCACGCCCATTAATACCGTCGCTCCCTTTCTATCTGCCTGAATAATTATTTTGTCTCTTTTTCGTAATTTTTTTGTGTTTCTTTGTAAATCGGTTCCTGTTTATTGGCTCTTAATGCGCCAGGATCCGAGAGGACATCGATATCCAGCCTGAAAGAAATTTGATTAATGGGAGAATTGAAGAAGGCAGCATGTTTCCTAAGCAAACTCGGGGAGGATCAGGGCAGAGCAAAATCATCAAAAAGAAGATACGGAAATATTTTCAACTTGAGAAAGTGAGATAGCCACAAAGATCTGTAGGAAACCAAGAGGAGGCTTCTACGGTTAGCCTATTTAATGCAAGCAGACAAACTAGGGCATAAGAAACGCAGAGACTTGGCATTAGGAATAGAAGAGTGAGAGATGTGGCGGACACCATCGATAGTTGGCTATCGGTAAGTGTGTTTGATCATAGACGTCGTTCATGAAGTAAAAGCTTGATCATGGGATGTACTCGATGCACATGCGGACCAGTGTTAAGGGAATCTGCAGCCTCAAGCTAGGTTTACACGCCACTTGAGAATCCGAACTCTGGGCGCTTGTTTAATGAGGCAGAGTGTAGGACATAACGTCTCGATTCTCACGAGTAGGTTGGCAGTGATCGAGTGAAATCCTTGAACCAGGTAGATCAGATACAGTTCCTCCGGAGCAAGAGGGAGACTCTGATATGATCTGGAGGATGAGGATTACGGGCTGAAAGGGCCGACTGTGATGAATACTTGCGGCACAGTGAATCCGCTCCAAAAGGACACATCTGAAGAATATATACGAAGAAAAGTTGGGTTTCGAGGAATCTCTTGTTTCATAATTGTTGAGCTTACTCCCATTTCGAGTGGAAGTGTTGGGTAAAGAGGTTCGATGGTTCGTTCCATCAGAAGACGACGGCGAATTCCTCTTGACCAGC